CCCTCAAAAAAGAGGGTGAAAATCTGGGTGCGTCTTATACACTGAATACAGCATTTTTGGCCTCCTGAAACTCCACCCCTTTGCAAAAAAAAAAAGGGCATGCATAGTCTTTAGGAGGCTTCTAGAGTGGCCCTGGGGCTGGGGGGGGGGCGGGGGAAATGAGCACAAAAAGGGCCATTTTTTGCTCATTTTTGCCCTCCCCAGCCGCGAGGAGCACTCTTCAAGCCTCCTAAAGGCTATGCATAGCCATTTTTGCAAAGGAGGTGGAGTTTCAGGAGGCCAAAAATGCTGTATTCAGTGTATAAGACGCACTCAGATTTTCACCCTCTTTTTTGAGGGGAAAAGATGCGTCTTATACTCCGAAAAATACGGTAGCTAATTAACAACTAGGTAAATTTAGCAAGTATGATAGTCATCCCCTCTCTTCCGGCACATAATCCATGTTGATAGTGTTAGATTAAAGGTTAGGGCATAATTTTCCAGTTCATGATGTATTATATTGAATTGAAGTGAAGTGAACATTTATTTGGCCAAGTGTGATTAGAGCAGACTCGATTTCGTTGAGGGCCAATTCAGGGTTGTGTTTGACCTCGTGAGGCCAGAGTGGATGTAACCAGGATGAGTGTGGCCAGCTCAACATCACTCGTGTTGGGGGGCGCCTGTGATGGACTGAGCACTCTGCCAGAGAAAATGGGCTCCCAAACTCCATTCTTGGCTGCAACAGCCTTCTGCAACCCTCTGCCAATGAAAATGGAGCTTGAAAGGAACACATGCAGCCCTCCCAAGTTCCATTTTCCTTGGCAGAGGCACTGCAGGCCAGTCCTTCACTGTTTCCAGAGTGACCTCCATGGGCCAAATCTAAGCACCCCGCAGGCCGGATCCAGTCCCTGAGCCTTGCATTTGACACCCCTGGATTAGAGGAATTTGTCTCTGGGGCAGAAGCTCTCAGTGCACCTGCAAACCAACAGAATAATGATAACCATCATTATAATATCAATAAAAGAGGGGAGTAAAGAAGACGAATAAGAGGAATAAATAATACTACAACCATGCTACCTGCCTAAATACACATAGACATATTATTCATAGATATCATGATCCTATACTATACATAGAATTCTTGCACATCCATCAAGCTTGATTAATAGGGGCTACATGAAAATGTCCATTATAGTGACAACAGTAAAAAAGTAACTTGTTTTTGCTGTCTCCTGGGAAGTTTGTGATTTTTACTTCCCTGTCTGGTTCTACATTCCTGTGATTACCACTCCTGTGGTGATTATTCTGACCTAGGATTCACCAGCAGCACGAAGCCGAGTCCGAGTCCTCTCCAGCAAAGTCTTTCCTCTCCCACAGTCTTTCAAGATAGTTCACAATTATCTATCTTTATCAGGCTTGGAGAGTAGCCAGGCCGATATCTTTTAGACGCCGCAATACTTGGCAAGAATGCAGGAATGACCGAATTGTCTCCTCCTCCTCCCCTTCCTCTCCTCTATTATTCCCTATGGAGGGGCCATTCACCGTCCACCTGTGGCCTTACTCCCAAGTCAACCCTTGTTCCTTAGCTGTTCCCTTCGTCTGGCAACTCTGCGCATGCTCACACTGGGAACAGGCTCCAGCTGTTTTTCTGCCTCACTGATGTCTGACTCTGAAGGCATCTGATAACTGTCAAACAGCCCTGGCCCCATCTCTGCCTCCAATGCAGAGCATTTGTCAGCGTCTTCCCCAGAATCCAGGGCTGGCCCATGTTCCTCCTCAACCTCCTCATTGTCTGAATCTGCTGCCAGCTCCACTGGCCTCTGGTAGGTCTCAACAGTGATCTTGGAAGGTAAGCAGGGACAATTCCATATAATACTTGGATGGAAGTTGAAAATTCTGGGCTATAAGCTGGACTGGGATGTTGAAAAACAGCTTGGAAGAAGGCCTTCACACTTTCTTCCATAATATTGCTGAAAAACCCTGCACCAATGGGATCCCTAGGGTCAACCTCGATTGCATACAAAAGGAAAGATTTCCAATCTATTCCACTTTAGTGTGTGACTCAGAAAAGCACTGTGGCATCATTAGGACCAGAAATTCTTGTCAGTGCAAGGAATTTAACTATCATAGTTAAAAGGTTATTTGTCAGCAAAATAAGGAAAGCCATTCTTTATCCCAGTAAGAATTAGAGGGGAAAAAAAGAGAAAGAGAGAAAAAAGAACCGAAGAACCATTATTTCTGCGTTTCAGTTACTGCTGAGCTGCAGCTTGAAAATTAACATCCTGGTTTGCAAAATAGACCTTCTTTTATTGTGAAATCCAAAAGCTTTATTTCACCTGACAGTAATTCACAGTTTTCCTGCTAGTTAAATATTTTGTATACCAAGTTAAATGTACTGAGGTATTATTTAAGCACATTGTGATTCTGACTATTCACTGGGGAAAATATATGTTTTTTTGCCGCAGATAACTGCAGGAGGGAAAGGGGGAAGAATAAGCGGTAATGTATATAGATACAAGTGTCATGAATCTATATACTAACATAAATGGCATGAAGGAAATTTGGAAACTTCGGATGGCAAAAAGGAGTGACAGTGAATAATGAGGATAAACAATTGGTTGGACTCAATTTTTATATAAGTACTAGCTGATAACCTGGCGTTGCCCGGGGAATTTATTTATAGGGGGAAAATGTCGAGACCAAATATAATTTCTAATGTTGGATTTTACCTCTTACCAGAGAGTCCCTTACGGTGAAGCCATTACCATGGCAACTCCACGGCACTATACAGTAGAACCAATTTTATGGCAGTACAGTAGAAGCCATTTTAAGGCACAACAGGCTGTATCTTAACAGAACACCATCCCGAGGGGTTTTAGGGGTGTCTTGCCCCCACAATATTTGTTTCCAGAGAGTAAGTCATCTGTGTACCAAGTCTGGATGAAATTGCTCGAGGCAATCCAGAGTTATGCTGGAACATTCACACCCACAGCCATCTTTATATATAGATATATAAAATTAGTTATTTTAATAAGCATGATCCCGTGGAGAGCCAGACTTTCAGATTCTCTGAAGCATGCCAACTTTTTAAAAAGATAAACAGGTCAACCTGTTTTTTTTTAAATCAGAAAACTGTATCCTTACTAAATTCCTCCTCCTTCTCCCCCTCCTCTCCCTTCTCCAACTCCAACTCCAACTCAGAGGAAAAGAGTTCCTTATCTCTTTAAGCAAGCTAGCTCAGTGGTGAACCATTCTTATTTAAGAAGCACTTTAAGGTTTGCCAAATTGCAACTATAGCTGTAACACTCTGAAGCACAATGGAACATTTAAGATTACTGTGCTTTCTTTCTTTCTTTCTTTCTTTCTTTCTTTCTTTCTTTCTTTCTTTCTTTCTTTCTTTCTTTCTTTCTTTCTTTCTTTCGTTCTCAGTTGCTGTTTGGCATTCCTAAGGTCTTGATCTTTACCTCAGTCAGGAAAAGAAAATTGGCAAGACTTGTGAAAAAGTTCATGAACGTGGCTTCTGTGTTTCTAGTGTAATTGGTAGCCCTGGAGCTGCAATACAAATCGCAAGCAACCTGCTAATCTTGCTCCTCTTAATGAATAGGTGAAATCCGTCATCTTAAGGCAGGGTTTCTTAGCCTCAGCAACTTTAAGATGTGTGGACTTCAAATCCCAGAATTCCCCAGCCAGCCACGTTAACAGTACCTCAAGTTGAGAAACACTGTTCTAAGCCAAAGGCAAAGTTCTTATCTGTAAATAGCTGCCCCTGTCTACTTGTAGAGCTAAATTATACAAATATTTTTTTTAAAAAAGTGGTGAACAACTGGCTTAATTTTTTCAAGGAAAAAAAAATCTTTGTGTTTTCTTTTGGAAAAAAAAAACCCCAACCACCTGTAGGAAGTTAGCACCCACCCCCTCCCTCTCTTAGAAAAATGAAATATTTTAGGAAATATTAAAAAGGCAGAATGTTATATTTCCCTGGATGAGAAAAGGAGAAACATGTTTCTAAAGACAAAGCAGCTGCCTGCAGCTTCCTGCCCATCCCCTTTTGTCAATGGGCCATTAAGGCTTGAGCCAGTCTATTCTACATAACAAAGATAGGATTAACCCTCTACCCATCTCACCACACGGTACCTGGGAAGATTACATCAGCCAGCAAGGCAAACAAGCTGGTATCTCAGGACAGCCTACGAAGTTAGCTAAGACCTCCTGCCTCCTGGGAGTCTGACAACCAATCAGAATACATTTCTTACACAGGGATAGGAACAGGAAGTGGGGCCCAGAGTGAGTATAAAACTCAGGAACACTCAGCATCTCTGCCCATTTTTTCTTCTTCACCCAACATCTTGAAGCATGTGCTCCCCCTTTTCACCCAGGAGCTCCAAGGCATGTGATCCTGTCCACCATTAAAACCATCTTTCCAAGCAGCCTTGATGTTTCCAGTGTCTTTCCCCCCACTTGGAACCGAACCCAGAAGGGCATTTCTTCCAACACACCTAAATAAAGTACATGAATTAGTCCCAATTTCAGGATGCAGCAGTAGAATGAGCCAAAAGCTGAAATCACTCGAAGGTGATTATTTTTCATGTCCTAACAACCCTGTGGTAAAACTCTTTGTAAAATAAATCCATTAATCCTAAGGATTTTTCTAATGATCAAGAAAAAGGTTGAACTATCGACTTTACCTTATGAATGCCAATCTGGGATTCTTGCACGTTGTTCTCAGACCCGTTACTTCGGTTGATCATCTGCCACAACTTCGAATACATGCTATTCTTCTCGAAAGGATTCATGCCTTTCACCCGTACATGTTCATAGACTGCAGAATCTAAAACGGTGCCGTAAGGAATATCTGTCTGCCGGGAGAGATCTTGAAGAGACCTTGAATATTAGAGAAGACAAGAAGCAGAAGATATTTGATTCCACATTTCCAGGCTATTGGCGAGCAAAGGACAGCACGTATGACAACAGCTCTTTTTGATTTTGAGCCATAAAAGTCAAAGCAAGTCTAGGAGAATTGCCTTCATGTTCTAAGACACAAGGGAAAGAACAGAGCTTCAGGGGAAAGGAGAGAAAAAAAAAAGGATTGGATTCTTTTTTTTTTTTTAAAGAGAGACCTACAAAAATCAGGGCAGGTCAGCTTCTTTTAAAGAGCAACATGGAAGAAAGGTTCAATATTATTTATTTCATTCATATCCCACTTTTGAGATTTAAGGAACATGCCATTCCCAAAGTGACTCACCATTGCGGTATTTTTTAAAATGGAAATGGTAATTGGCAGTTTAAAACATGGGTCCTTAAACTACGGCCTGTGGGGGCCACATGCGGCCCGCCAAAGCCATTAATTTGGCCCGGGCATGACCATGAGGCTGCCCTCTCCATATCGCCCCACCCACCCTTCGGCCAAGCACAGGACTTACTTTTGCGAGCCCCGCAGGCTGAAACTGAACAGTAAGGCCAAGAGTTTTGGCCTTCAGATGTTCTGGGGGCAGGGTAGGTAAAAAATGGGGCGCGCAGACACCCCAGAAGGCCAAAAAATGGTCGGAAATGGCCCTTTTGGGCCAAAAAAATGAGCCATTTTTGGCTTGCAGAATGCTTCTGGAGATGGAGGGGGTAGGTGAAAAATGAGGCACATAGATGCCCCAGAAGGTCAAAAACAAAATGGTGAAAACGTCCCATTTGTGGCCATTTTTGCCTGTGTTTGGCCTGAAGAATGCTTCTGGAGGGGTGTGTGTGTGTGAAAAACAGGGCACACAGATGTCCCAGGAGGTCAAAAATGGGCAGAAACAGTCCATTTTTCACCTCCCCTGCCTCCAGAAGACAAAGAGGGATAGACAGAGACAGAGAGAGAAAAACCAGAGGGAGAGAGAGCGAGCAAGAAAGGAAGGGAGAGGGGGAGGGAGGGAGGGAGGGAGGGAGGGAGGGAGAGAGAGAGAGAGAGAGAGAGAGAGAGAGAGAGAGAGAGAGATATTTCTCAAGCTCCTTAGGGCTGAGAAGAATTGCTGCAAAACTGAGCTTCCTGAAGGGGACCACGAGACTCCTAAACAACTAAACAAACGATCTAGTAAAAAGAAAAGGCAAGTTCAATTCAAGTTTAATTTGTATGCCTTGTTCAATGGACTGTTAAATTGGTCACGCCCATCTAGTCACATGAACTAGCCATCCCCACCCAGTCACATGATCACTAGCCACTCCCACCCATCTGGCCCGGCCCCCCAACAGTTTGAGGGTCTGTGAATTGGCTCCCTGTTTAAAAAGTTTGAGGACCCCTGGTTTAAAACCTAGCATCATCCAAAAGAAACCCAACAAAAGAAAAAAAAGAGAGCAAGGGCTAAAATTGATTGGTTTCATTCATCTGTCAAGTTTATATGACACCTTTCTATCAGAGAGTCCTCAAGATGTCAAGCAATAACCAGAAACAGGAACCATACCATTATCATCTATTTGATTTAGCCTCTGGATATCAAAGTAAAAACATTCCTCTAGCACTGATAAATTACATCTCCGCAAAGATTGTTTCTATCATAAACACAGCAAACCATGTCTTAAGTTACATTTCTTACATTAAAGTGCTAAAAGGGACAAACATCAATAAACAGGGCAAAAATGAACTTTAGTTATCTCTGTAATCAGAAGAATCGGCTGGAGGAACATGTGAAAAATCAGCATACTACAGATGCATAGGAATTATGAGTCTGCTTTCTTGTGGGTCAACCTACTGATTCATTTATTTCAGCTTTATCTACACTAATAATGCATACCTCCCACATTTCTCCATTGGCTGGAGACCCCTTGTTAACAAATAGGCAGCAGATCCCTGGATACAATTGTGGTTGTTAAGAGCTGTCTCCAAAGCAGCTTTATTGATGCTACTTTTGCCAGCAAAGCAACAACAACAACAATTCAATGTAGTAAAATACCAGAAACAATAGTGAATAACGGAAGAAAGAAACAGCCTTCGGTAATAAAAATGAACGAAATAATGACAAAAAATTGTTTTTCTTGGGTGAAGTAGATGGGAACTCAGATCTCTGAGTGATCATACAAGACAATAATCAGTTCACTGTCAAGAATTTATAATTAGCAATAGCAGTTAGACTTATATACCGCTTCATAGGGCTTTCAGCCCTCTCTAAGCGGTTTACAGAGTCAGCATATTGCCCCCAACAACAATCTGGGTCCTCATTTCACCCACCTCGGAAGGATGGAAGGGACTTTGGAGGTCTTCTAGTCCAACCCCCTGCTTAGGCAGGAAAC